CCGCGGCCCCTGGCTGGACCTGCCCTTGCAGCAGCCGCCTCTCGCGCTGCCGCTGCTCCACGACGGCGCCGGCGCCGGCGGCAGGGGCGCGGGCAGACGAAGGGGTGACGCTGGGGCCCGTGGGCCCCGGCGCGGCGCCGCGGGGTGCTGGGGGAGCAGTGGCGGTGTCTGAGGCGGTGCCCTGAGCGACGGGTGACGGAAAAACCTTGGGGGTGGTTGGGTGCGCCACCTGGGGAAGTTGGTGGGATGCAGGGCGACGATGGAACGAGAGCAAGGGGGAAGGCAAGCCCCGTCTGAGACAAGGAGGTGTGAGGTGGGTCGGATTCAGGCGGCTGGGGGGCGGGGGAGGTGGGGCTGAGCGGGATCAGCGAGTGATCCGTGAGTGCGCCGCGTGGGCGGGATTTGAGGAGGCGCAGCTCCAACCTCTGATCTTGGACCCCTCAGCTGCCGACACGCACACGCACGCGGCGCAATGCGGACACCGCATCACAGGCGCGCAGTCTCAACCCCCCCAGGCAAGCCATGACATGGCGATGTGCAAACCCTGGTCGCCCTCCAGGCACGCGCCACAGCCAATGAGCGGTTGAATCCTGCCTCACATGCATGCGCTCTGCTGCGAGTGTCCACGCCGCAACCATTTGATGCACTTTGCTCCATCCTCGCCCCCCCTGTATGCACCCCATTACAAAAACCACAACTGAATTAAAGCGCCGGCCCCGCATTCAGCAGCACCAGCCTAGCGCCAAGCAACCCCACCTCTTGGGCTGGTTTGAGCCGGGCTTCGGCGCCGCTGGGCTGTGCGGATGGGACGGCCGCAGGCGCGGACGCAGCCGGCCCCGCGGCGCCGGGGCCGTTGGGGCCGAGCGGCAACTCCTGGATGCGGTCGCAGGGTGCAGAGTTTTGGAGGGGTAAGTTGCGGCCGCACAGAGCGGGATGGCCGCGACGTGCATTTGCTCCCTTCCAAGCGGAGGTCAGGTGTCGAAAGGCTCGGGTCTGCAACCACCCACATTTGCAGTTATCCAAGTATGCACAATTGCACGCAATTCGGCTTGCTGCCTGCAGCGATGCAGTGGGCACATTCCGGTCCGGACCAGTCCATCCGCGCCGGGCCCCCCTGCTGCCGTGTTTGCTTGGTCGTCAACAGCAGCAGGGGCGGCAGCGCCGAGGACTCCGGCCTCGCTATTGCCGCGGCTGCGCCGTGGGCCGGGCTCAAGCCGAGCGGGCGGGGTGCCGCGCTGCGCGGGCAGAAGCGGCCTTGGGAGGCGTGTGTGCGTCATGATTACCCTGCGTCACCCACGCCCTACACAGCACTCACAGCCCAGGGACCGTGCCCTAAACCTCAACCGAATCTAATATCAAGGGTGGTCTTCACAACACAAATAAATGTCTCCGAGCTCAGATGATTGCGAACATGCGCGCAGCATCACCTCATTCCCGGTTGAGCTGGGGGGGGTAGCAGCCGAACCAGGAACGGGCGGTGCAGCACCCCAGCTCGCGTTGCAACCCCTCACAAAATCACTGCCGCCAGCGCGCCCGCGCACTGTGCAAAAAAGCGCGAGGCGCACAGAGCCCTCTCGAAAGCTCGAGCAGGCCAGCCACCCGCAAAACGGTCTCCGCCCCTGATCAACACCCCGCCATGAGCTCAAAGCCAGCGATTACGATACAGTCCTGGCCACAAAATCAGCCCGATATCACCTCGGCGCCTCGGACTGACCCCCCGGCCACCGGCCCCGCCGGCCTGCCCGCCAGCAGCGCCCCGTCGCGTCCCTGAACCCCAGTGTGCCCTGGCGCTGCCGCGCTGCCCCTGCCTGCCCCCGTGCCGGCCGTCGGCGCGCCAGAAAGCGCCCCTGCGGCGCGCTGCGGCGCAGAATCAAAGGCAAACCCTGGTGTGCCGGGGCTGCCGCCGGCCGGGGTTTGGGCAATGGCTGTCTTGGGGGTGGGGTGGGGAGTGGCGGGCAGCTCCTTCTCATCTGCCGAAGGTGGGGATCCCTGGGTTGGGTGAGGGTTGCCATTTGCATGGGGGATTGTGGTGAGATTGGAAAGGGGGGGGGGGTCAGAAAAGCAGCTGGGGAAGCGGGCCCTGCCGTTGTGGTGCGGTGTGAGGGCAGGGGGCGTGAGAGACAGTGGTGTGGCATGTGTTTTTTTTGGGGGGGGGGGGCGTGCGCCGCTGTGAAGCGTCAGCACATGCCTGCTCCAGGGCATCAAAACAAGCAAGGCACCTGGAGGACCCGCAGCGATTGCGCTGATTGCGTGCGGCCCGTGCTGATCCACCATTTGCTGAGCTGGAATTGAATGCAAAGCGTTGTGGGTCGCGGTGGTGGCGGCGTTAGCGGGTTGCTGCTGCTCCTCATAAAAGACTGCTGGGGGAGCAACAGCAAGCATCAACCCCGGCTTGAAGGGCAATGGGCGACCGCAGGCACACATCCGTGCGCGTGCGCTGCCAATTTTGACGGTATGTGCTTAGCTGCAACGCTTCAAAAACACAAGTCAGCAGCAGCGCCCCAACCGATCAACCACCTTGAAACGCTGTGGCCCAAAAAGAACCCTCAACCCCGACGCCCAGCCCAAATGTGAGCTTCGCAACACACATCACAGCACATTGACTCACAACCAGAGATGCAGCCCACAGGCGCTGATCCCTCCAACCTCTGCCCCCCCCCCTTAAAACGCTGGAGCGCCACCCTTCGCCCCACGCACCTCCAGCAGCTGCGCAGGAAACTCCGGCAGCAGCCCCTCCGGCGGCGCCAGCGCGGACGCCCCGCGCCTTGCGGCGGC